CAAAAACCCAATCAGAGCACAATTTTTTTTCGATTTTTCGAATTTTGAGAGGAAAATCAAGCGGATACTCAACTGCTATTGTCTCAAGTGCTATTTTTCCAATTCCTCAACTGCTAGGATCACTAGCACATGAAACAAAATAGCACTTAATCCATATGTGCCAATTTTCCAAAATTTGGATCTTGTGCTATAGATCAAGTGCTATTTTCGCCATGTCTCATGTGCTATGACTATTGTCTCATTTGCTTTAAAATTGGATAATAATCATAGCACATGAGCCAAAAAAAAATGGCGGAATAGCACTCGATTCATAGCACAAGAGCCAAAAAAGCAGGGCCAATCCTCGAAAATTCCTGGCAAGGCCCGGAATATGTGCCCTTATATTAAAACCCTCAGTAAGGAAACTGGAAAAAGAATTCCAGCCAACTCAAAAAAGTGTGTGTTCAAGAGCTGCTACTAGTAGATAATCCAATTCTTTCGGTTTCCAACAAATTCAATATTTCCTTCTGTTTGTGTATTTCGTGTTGGAAGGAGAAAAAAGAACTCGTTACATAAAGTGGTAGAATGGGCGGGGCTTGTGAAAATTTGAAGGGAGTCAAAGGTCAAATGACCCTAGAAATGACATTATGGGAATACTTTTCGTTGATTTTGGTTTTTTTTTCAGCTGATTTAGGCTGAGCACGCGCCAAGCAGTCAAGAATTCTTCTAGTGACCTAAAAATTTTGGGGTGTACCAAAAATAGCTAGAACTTCATTTTTGTAGTTAACAACTTTTTTGTGCAATCACTTTCCCGGTAGATAGAGCTCGTTCAAAACAACTACTTCTGAAAACTGGTAGATACTCAAGTGCTATGAGACTCAACTGCTATATCTCAAGTGCTATGGGAGTGATCAAGTGCTATTGTCTTATGTGCTATATTTGGCTCTTTTGCTATGCATCAACTGCTACTTTCACCATCTTTTTTGGCTCCGAAACTATAATTTTTGGCTCAATTGCTATAATGAAACAATAGCCATAGCACATGAGCCATGCAAAAGTAGGCGAAGATAGTAGTCGATCTATAGCACAAGAGCCAAAGTTGGGAGAAATGGCATATAGCACAAGATCACTCGATATCACTTGAGTATTTTGAGTGGCTCAGTCGCTAGTCATTTTTTATGGAATAGAGAATGAGCAGTTTATAGCAAGTGATTATTTTTTCTAGCAAAAGAGCAAATTCTATAGCAACTGAGAAATAGCAAAAAATCTGCTAGCAACTGCGGATTTGCCTATTTTCCCTGAAAACTCTGTAGAATTTTCGAAGATTTCGAAAGCCCTTCATAAACGAGCTCTATCTGACCGGAGAGCCATTGTACAAAAGAGTTGTCAACTACAAAAATGAAGTTCGAGTTAACTTTGATAGACCCAAGCTTTTCTAGAGCCGTAGTACAATTCTTGACTACGGGACGCATGCTGACAGTCAACCTGAGTCAAAAAGTAAAGAAAAGTCAAAAATCCATACAGTACCTCCTATTCGCAGCCGGCGATGCAGGTGATGGTGGTGAAAGTCTCGATGGAAATTGCTGTGGAATGGCCAGTGCAACCGGTAGAGACACTCGTCGATTTGACATATTTACCTGAATTAATTTGATTTTCTCCCATTTTTTATCTTTCCGAAAAATGGCAATGATAACCTACAGTACCTTTAAGAACGACATGTTTTCTGGAGAAAGAGAAGAATAAAAAGTAGTTTCAGAAAGCGAATGAAAGTGGAAGGATGATATGAAAGGCTTATTCAAAAAGAAAAATCATGAGGAGTTGGGGGGAGGAAGATCATCGAGAAAAGTCGGATTGGGAGGATTTTGACGTCGTGAAGAGAGAAAATCCGAGAGGCTTACGGGATTTTGGAAAGAAAGACAGAATCATAGGGGTTGGTTAGAGAGAAATGTGCAGGGGGGGGGGGGGGAAGAGTAATTTTAAGAACTCTTCGTAAATGTACTATTGAAGGCTCGACCCGGCTTCCAAAAAAAAGTAGGGTGGTACGCTGAATCGGGAATTCCTGAATCAGAACTGTTTCAATTCAGAACTGGCCCACATCTGAAAAAAGTTTGGGAAATGGAAAATTAGAAAGTGCGCTCTATTGAGAAGTTCTAGAGGAGTTAAGCTTGAGTCTAGTAGAGCAGGTTTGCAATAAGGGAAGGACGTGCAAATCATTAGAAAAACAAACAGATCGGGCAGTGGACTCAACGCATTTGTTGGCGATTTGTCGTCTCCACCGTCGACACTTGGTGGGAATAGGGAGTCCGTTGGGGGCAAGGAGACCAGGGGTTCGACCTGGAAATAGAAAATACATATGAGATTTTGCAGGTCAGGCTTGCTCGCGAAAAAAATTTTCCGAAATTTTTTTTCGGAAAATTTTTTTTTCCAAAAAAAAAATTCCGTCGGCAAACTCGAAAATCGGAATTTCCGTTTTCCGATTCCGAGCTAGCCTGGTGCAGATGCTCGGAAGCAATGACTTTTGTCTCAAGTATTGCATCTGAGCAATAGCACTTGATCACCTCATAGCAGTTGAGTATCTACCAGAACTCACCATTTTCACTAGCAGCTCCACACAAACAACCATCGTCGGCTCCACATAAAATCAAATAAATCCTAGTCTGACTGTCTGCCACGGTGTACTGGTATGCCGA